CAAAAAGGATAAATCTGTGAGGGTAATCTGTGCACCTTCTATTAAGGAGAATGTGAAGCATGTAGCTGATACTGATGCCAATTGAACTCAGAGCTTCAAAATACCTACAGTGCAGTAAGCCAAAAATGAGCGCATGAAAAAGTAATGGAAGCGTAGACAGGATGGTAGTATCTGAAGCTCATTGGAGAAGATTAAATTAAATAACAAAGCAATTGCAATAAGTGGTTACAGTGACAAAAAATTCAGATTCTCAAGAAAAAAACATAACAAAACAAAATTTGTCTGCATTCCAGCCCTGACAACACATACAATTTATTTATATTAATGTTTTCAAAACTGAAAGTACCAAAAGTGCTGCTTGGGACTTAAATTATCGACCAGTTCTAGGCTTGCTTGTATCTAAACTCACCCAGACTCGCAGGTTACGTGTTCATGTACCTATTCACTGTATTAACACTAATAGGCCTTCTCAGAACACAGATTCAAGATGGGACCTAAAACCTAGACTGTTGGGTTAGGAGGGAAAAGCGTATGTAGTTTTTCTAGAATGCATTGGAAAAGTTTGCAGCTCTTTTTTGTTTCTGAAAATGGGATTCTAAGTCCAATTTTCATATTTAAGACTGTGAGATTCAAACAGAAACTAATGAACTCAAGGTCTGGGAAGATAGCTTTTCTAAATTGTAGAGAAGAGTTGGAAGGCAGAAGACAGTCTTCTCTTCAGGGTGCTGATTGTAAGCACCCATTTTTTTTTGCCTGGGTTTCTACCATCAGATGAATACAGAGATAAACATGTAGTTACTGTTTTAATTATTCACATTCTGGGAGCTTTGCCTATTGTGTTCCCAAGATGAGAAATGCACAAGATGCAGCGCTCTAAAGAAATTCCATCAAGTAAACTCTTACCAAAAGCATGGTTGAGGGAAAATTGTAATTTTCTTACTCGAATCACATGTCAGGACTTTGCCAGTTACATTCCTGAATGCTCTTCAGGTCTTTTTTGCCTACCTTACCCTATGTATAAACCCACCTACGGGGTGGCTCACAGCATTAGTCCGTGTCAAACCTTTTTCTGAAAAGGCTGTGCTGGAGTCATTTGATGATGTTTGCTAGTGCTCTGAAAGCCTGCAGGCAATTCTCAAGTCAGCTGGGTTTGTGCTGCCAAGGATAAGTGAGCTGGCACTTGAGCTACATGCCAGTAAAATTGTGACTTCAGTCATAAAGTCATATCCCAGTTTCTAAGGAAATTATACTTTGCTCACCAAATTTACGAAGCAGATCATATTGTGGTCAGAATATTGCAGGTATCCCATGGCCAAATTTTGTTGTGCCTAGTTCAGAAGTTCCCTTTCACTTTGGTTCATCCTTGTTGGGATATTTACAAAAAGTAGTAAGTAGTAGTTTGTATTCATTTGGCAGTTAGCTTTGGTACAAATAGGCATAAATACTAATTATTTCCGGGACAAGTTATCACTTAAGGGAAGAACACTCATCTGTTTTCCTCTTTTTTCCTCCTTATCCTCTGTAGCCTCAACCTCTGGATTTCTACCTTGTGCAGGAAAGTTCCTCAAAGAGATAAGGAAGTAGAAAAAACTAAGAGGTTCAGGGAAGAAGCAGTTTCTGGACAGTGCATCCAGAGATTTTGGTTCTCAAAACATTCATGTTTGCGCTAAAGCCGGAACTTTGCAGACTGAGATTTTTTCCTTATTCACCTAGCTTATACAGCTCCCATTCTCCCATTCTGGATCATTGCTTCAAAGAAGCTCTTAAGACCAGAATCCAACTTTGAAGATAAGAGTTGATTCCCAGTGAGAATGTTAAAAGAAGTACAGAGCGATCTGAACAAGTTTATTTGTGTAGGTTCTTTTAATCTCAGCTAGCTCAGAAGGGATTAGTATGGCTTCTGTTTTCTGAGAAAGCTGTAGTTGGCCATCCACACTCCAAAGGACTGTAGGATAGGTCTCAACAGTAGGAAACAGAATAAAATATTCCAGGGGAGCATGCTTGGCCATTCTCGCTGTGATGGAAAGTGAAATTATTACTATCTAGATTAATTCTGTCCTACTTATGGATGCTAAGCATTTTCTGATAACTTTATGAAACTGAAGGTTTAAAAAATTAATACTTGCATGGATTCTGGCTAAAGGACATATGTAAACTATGATTCATCATCTCCCTTTTTGTTTTAACCACAAAAACCTTGATATTCACTTTTTTTTTTCCAGTGTTGGAAGTTTTATTAGAGAGTTAGGACAGACGCTTTCAGAGATGCTATTTAGGAGTGCATTTGAAGGGAGATGAGACTTCTAGAACCCATAAATTTGAGCTCTGCAAGTGGCTTTTACTTAAGAAACATTAAAATCTTCTCTGTGAAGGAGAAAAAGGAAAATATTTAACCTTTTTTTTTTTCTTTTTTTTTTTTCTCTCCCAGTTCCTGTTTACAATTGAGGGAGAGTAAAGACTGATCTCTAGAATATATTCATATATATTCAGAACTGGAAACAATTTAATAACTGGTCTCTATTGCCTGGTGGTCACACCTACACCCATAGTGGCCTTTGGCATTTATATTTTAGTGCCATTTAATTTGTGCAAACCAGTCATCTTATATGGATATTAGGCTTCAATGTCTGCTCTTTATGCTTTTCAGATGAAAAGAAAAATATTGTAGGAATGGAAGAGGAGCTGACAGCAAGAGCTCACCTTCCAGTCAGGAATCTACTCAGAATTGGAGTGAAATGGAACTGCGGGACATGGGAGGACAGATTAGGTTTCTATACATTTTCCTTGGTGCCACTGAAAGAATCCAAAGAGAAAGCTGACAGACCTATTACTGTACTGGCACAAGATATGGCTATAATCTTTCAGTGCTTCCAAAGTAAGCCTCATCTCTGAAAATGAGTTGCTGCATATATTCATGACAAAAGGGCACATCTGTGAGCACCCAAAGTCCTGTACAAGATGTATAGAATAAAAAAGCCATCAGAAGTCTCCCTTTTTCAGCTAGGGAGACTTAGTTCCGTTGGGAACCAGAACCCTATAACCCGTATAGGAAGAGAAGTCCCAGTTACTGAAGTTATTTTGAAAATGGTACAGTTACTAAGGCAGGCTTTGAGAGTGCCTGTGTCAAGTACATAAGGTCCCTGGGGTACATTTGGATCTCATATATTATGAGACATTTTGCTTTTTGACTGTTTTTCTTATGCTCTTTAAAATGAGGCTGTTTCTGAAGTCATCAAAATTCGAAATCAGGATTTCCCAATAAAATATCTGTTTTATAAGCACGGACACAATTCATATGTGTCAGTGTCCCTGTGTCCGTTCACAGACACATTTTGTACCTTGTATTTTCCTGTTTAAAAATATGTAAGTGCAAGCCATCAATGGTGCACAAGGAAGCTCTGCTATGCAGCTAACCAGCTAGCTTGATGCAGCATTAAGGTGAAGGAAAGAAGCAAATGTGGCTCGTAGTGACTGATTGAAAGGGGCAAGGAAGGAGCATGGGGAACAATGAGTGCATGTTGTGTGCAGTGTGCTTACTCCTGAGAAGTAAGAGAGTGAAATGCTGCTGAAATATTGATAGGGAGGATAGGCTCTGGAATGATTGATGACATGTGTGTGTGTCTTGGCAAGTTTAATTGGATTTATTGGGGTAGAGGGTGGAAGAATGTGGTGCATTTCCTTTTATGGGTTTCTTTCTTTCAGACTTTTCTTTCCTGCAGAATTGTCATTTGATGCATATCCTTTTCACTGTCTAAAGAGAAAACCTGGTGTCTGTTCCTCTCAATTTTAAGGTTAAGGAAGCTGTATAAAGAATGAAAAGAGATGTAAAACGAGTTTCATTACATTTTATTTACTACTTGTCTTCACTTTCACTAGGTGTAAATACTCACTGAAGAGTGGTAATTTGGAGGGGAAAAAGAATATGTAATTGAATAGTGGCTAAGTGAATCTCAGTGTTATGATGCCAATCATAGCGGGAAATCCGCCTTGAAAACTTATTGTCTGTATGCTCTTCTCTAGCATTGATATGCTTCTCTTTTTGACTTATCCTTAGTAACCAGATTCCTTTCATAAAACTGTTACAGTTTGCCAAAGTGGTGAAGTTCAGATCCTCCAAAACACCAACAAACTCAACACCTGTTAAGTCTCCTAACATTGAAAGAAATGGATTTTTATGTGGAACTTGCTCAGTGCCTGCACCTGAATTCCTAGCCATGGTGTGCATGTGCTGTTTTTCAGTGACAGTATTTCAGTCTTCCCCTTTCCCTTCTGCCTGTTCCTAGTGTGAGCACCCTGTGTTTTTTAAGCAGAAGCATTGACTTATCTATTCTGACCCCAGTACTGGTTTCTGCTCATTCTGGTATAAATTAGGAGTACCCTTATATCAGGGCCAGTAAGCAACTTTTTGTTTTTATTTGTTTTTGATAAAGCAAACTAGTTTCATCAGCTGTTTGTTTGATGCTTGCATTGAATTTACTGTTAATGAAAAGTCCAGTTTAGAGACTACATGGACAGCATCTGTAAAGGCTTTACTTGCTCTGCTGAAGCTAAGTGGTGGACCTTTTTTTGGTTTCTGTTCAGGTTTCATCATCCAAGAGCTGACTGTGAGGATGACAGCTTCCAAGATGTCTCAAAAAGAGAACACCAAACTCTGTTCTTGGACCTATTGGGAGAGAATTCTGACCTCTGCAGAGGTGAGTAAAGAAACAGAGAATTGGGAAGAACTTTCTGTGGAGAAGATTGTGAACTGCTGATAGAGGACACTGTGCTTCATCTAGTGTAAAAATATTCATTTTTTCCTGCTCTGAGTTCAGCAGGAATCACTATCCAAAGACCTGGTAATCCTTCTCAAACATGCAAGCTTTCCAGGTCCTCAGACAAATAAATTAGAGCTGTCGGTGTTTCATCTCTTGCCTCTTCCCTTCTTTTCATTGCCCTACAATCAAACTTAAGTCGGTGAAAACCAATGGGAAGGTAGGTATAGAGACAGAGAGCTTTAATTAGATGTTCAGTCATCTCCACAGACATGAAGCCAAACATGTCTCTGGTAGCAGAATATTTCTGAAACAGTTTGTTTTCAAATAACAAGCTTAATGTAATAATGTTTTTATGCAACACTAAACTTAAGGATGTGTTTTCACTGAAACACAATGGAATCTAAGCTATCAGTAAGATACTTCAATTTCATTTAAGTAATAGCCAGTTTCATTGGCAGAAGTATTTCTGAATTTGCTGCTCTTTCTTAATTTAGGTTGGTTTTGGCATGAGACAAATGTATCTTCTCAAGACTGATTAAAAGAATTCTGGGGTTAAAAAAAATGACAGTGTAGGAGAGCATTAGTTGTCTTATTTGTTTGATATAGTTTGCTCTTAGAAGTATGTGTGCTCAATCTAATTTTTGAGAAAATGTTACTGATGCAAGAAACCAAGGGTCATTTTTTCTGCTGTGGTGTTGTGCCTCCTTTCTTATGAAAAGCCTGACTTGAAGAAAAAAAGCAACATACACAGCATTAAGGAAGAATCAAATGATGCCCTTACAGTGCGACTAATGAACCAACTTCCATTTACTACTTGCTGTGAATCTGCTTCCTTTGCCCCAGATCTTAACTCTATGGTCAGTTCTCTTTAATCTTAGCACCCTCTGCTGTGGACATCTATAATAACATCTTATTTAATTAATCTCTATTTACAAGTTGTGTATCCCTATTCGTACTAAAGGATCTACAAATGTAACACAGCTTGTGCCAATGGAGCTGCATCTAGTCTGAAAAATGTGTTATATTCCCTTTCTCATTCCTGAAGATAGCCTTTTCCAAGTGCTTACTAAAGAAAAAATGTGCAGAATACGGATAAAGATGTTTTAAAATATGCTGTGTAAGAAAGAGGCCTAAATCAAAATCTAGTCTTTGCAGAAGAGGACTGTAAGTATGCAAATGTGCTTGAGTCCAGGGATAATTTTGAGTTTTGCACCAGGTAATAAATTTTTTTTTTTTTTTAAGTTTTTATTTGCCATGTTTAATTCCTCTGGAACATGTACTGATCAAACTACTGCTATCTCTGGTGTCAGATTTTCTATGTGAATAGCAATATGTGTCTTAAAGTCAATTTTGTTAGCTCACCTTTATCCTGAGTGTTTTTCTTGCAAGCACAGTCCATAGCTAGTTTTTCAGGTCAAGTCCTCATTTGTGCCGGTAGGTCAGGGCCAGCACATGTCTCAGTACTTGAATAAAAACATATATGTTAAAAGCATACCACTTTGAAAATGTCTGTGAACACATCTGTCAATAAAGAATATTCTGCAGAAATTGTTCTTTAAAGTCAAACTTTATCATATCTTTCCAGTAGCCAGTTCCATTATTTAGTCCCTCAGAGACAGGAGAGAATTTGCATTTCATTAGAGATACAGCCTGTAAAACAAAAGAAGAAACCATTCTCACTTGGTGAGCTATGGTCAATTCCTCCACGCTTGCTTACTAACAGAAATATCTCCTTTTTCTTCTTAGTGAAGGTACTGAGGTTCTTACCAGTGGTCCAGATGGGAACTCCATTTCCAATGATCCTTTCTTTTCTAACAAATTTTCATCTCACATTTGGACTCTTTCTCCAATGCCTGTCAGACTTGAAGTCTAATACAAGTGGTTGCACTTCCACAGAAAGTTCAGAGACAACATGTTCACTGTGCTTTCAGTATTTTCCTTTAAATGCTTAAGTAATTGTTATTAACCTTCTCTTCATGTTTTCTGTTTTGTCTTTGAGACAGCAGAATGTGTAATAGCAATAACCATATGAATCAGTCATTTTTCTTTTCACTCCTCCAACTCCATCTGCTGATCGCTCATATGAGAGCTCTAACAGCAAAGCTGCTTCTGAGGATCACTGAAGATGTGGAACAGTGAGCCGCCTTGTCAAGCATCCAAGAGCAAATAGCAGCAGCGATGAGATTTTGAATACATTAGTAATAATACTGTATTGATCTCAAAACACTTTACAAACATTAACTAATTAAGCTTCAAAACAGTGAAGTAAGTTTGCGATGATACAGCTGATTTAGCAGATGAAGAAGTGGAGGTAAATGAAGGGCAAGCAAAGTGATCAGAGTCGAGTGGTAAGCGAAGATCAGAGGAAGATGTTCTGATTTCTAATTGTTCTGATGTTCATGTGATCTCACTGAGGAAATTTTTGCAGGGAAACTTGCAGCCATTTCAAATTAATTATGCTGGAGCATTTTCTAACTAATCTGAGCACTTCTTACAAGAAACAAGATTGTACAGAATCTCACAAAACTTACAAATTCTTTTAGCCTTTCAGATCCAGCTTTGATTGACAAGGCACTATTTTGGAAAGCAGAGGGGACAGCTATTGCCATGTTCTGAGTCTTTGTGTTCCCACTGTGCTTCTCTGATGGTACTACTTGATTAGAAAACTGCCTTGACCTGCAAAATGAGAATTCACGTGGCCTTGACGCTGATGTCATGCATCTATCCCACCCTTCCAATGGAAAAATAAAGCCTTCTCAAGGGATTGGTCTGGTCCAGCAGTCCTAGCCAGTCTGTGGAGTCTGAGAGGCTGCTATAGAGTGGAATGGTTTTAAGTCAGTAGAACAGCCCTGGCTTAAAACCAGCATAACAAGGTGGAGCATCAGGCACACAGTAAGTGAATCATGCAGAGCAGTGTTGACCCAAACAGAGCATGACAGCTTAGAACAGGTTCCTCAGAGACATTAAGTTATCCTTGGAAAGACAGGTCTCAAAGCCAAGGTTTATACTTTCTTAATGGGTTTCATTAGGAAGAAAGGAAAGGAACTGGAAAAAAACGTGTAGCTTAAAAGGGAACGACTTCACTGCAGTCAAAAATTTGTTCCATTTTTCATTAGAAGAAGCCAGTCCTGCCTTGAAATTCATGTCCCTTCAAAGTTCAAGGAGGCCTATATTGTTGGCCTGCTCAGTCAGAACGCTCCAGCCACTTATTGTATGTGGATTGCACTCCAGGGACTGCCTGAAAAAATATGATTTAGTGAAAGCTTGTACCCAAAACACATCATTGGCCTCTGATCTCTGAACATTTAAATATTTCAAGCTTACAAGCGGACGCTGTCACGAGGACAGACCCTGATCCCTAGCTGATTCTAGAACATCTGTTGAGGCATTTACCATGTTAATAGATTAGCTATGAGAATCAGGCAGGTGTTTTTCACCAAAGCCAGAAAACATCAAAATCAGATTGCCCTCCAAGTCTTTCAGCACAGGCAATCGAGTTAGAATGACTCATAGAGTCTAACAGATAATAAAACACACATAACATTTGCTTTAAGGTACAGGTGGGGATATTTTGTACTGTGCTTAGGAGAAAGAAAAACTAACTCTATTTGGGAATAGAGTAATTGAATACAGATGGGAGGAGGCAAATGAAAGAATTTAGCAAATATCTCAGTGGAATAGCTAATGGGAACGAGACAGAATAGGAAATTAAAAATTATTCGAAGCAGATGGACCATTCTTTGAGTTTTTTAAAATTTATTAGGGCTGCGAAAAAAATGTGTCTGTTTATTTTCCACGGCCATGAAATTAATGACTTGGTGAGTTGTGCTTGTGCAATTTTATGACTGCCATGTCATTTGTCATAATTTGGGTGCTGTTTGATATGGATTTATGAATATTTCCTCCCCCCAACATGATTTATGGGTGTTGGTCATACGTGAATTAGACTGTCACCTTTAGTATGAAAAAGTACAAATGACAGATTATATATATATGTGTGTGTGTGTGTGTGTGTGTGTATATATATAAAGCAACAACAGTGCTCAAGTCTGTAGTGCAGGAAAGCAGAGTTCACAATCCTCTCCTCTGTTTCTTCATTGGAAGCTTTTGTTTAGAGTTGACAATTAAATGTTTGAACTTGAGTCAAGCATATGGGAATATTGAGAGGGCTTGAATGTATCTGAATTCATCTGAATTTCACCTGTGAAACTCAGTTTGAGTCATCCTTTCCTTGTACTGTGCATTGAAAAATCAGTATATGCACTATTTGCCAAAGGACCGACTGATTTACTGTATAGGAGCAAACTGGCATAGCAGATTTGCTATCTTGCTTCCAGTAGTGGCTAACTCTGAGAGAAGCTTCCATGGAAAGTGAACATAATTTCACATGACCTGTTCAGTTGTGTAGCATTGTATAGCTATAGGAGTGAAGTTGAAAGACGCATCAAACCATCCAGATTTCTGCAACAGTAATAGTATCCCAGCTTTAGATCCAACATACTAACTTTTATACTGTTATCACTTCCACCAAAACATAAGTATATGCCATTTGTTTTATAAGATGCAGCTATGGGATGAAACAGTTTAGGTTCACTACAGTTGCTCCTCGATTCCAGCAACCTGACTGTAAGCACATTACTGAGGCACCTGACACCAATTGCCCAAGGCTCTGCTGCTGATGCTGGAAAGTGATACGCACCTCCAACATGCAGGTCAGCTTGTGTGTCCCTGTCTGTTGGCTGTGGGATCAGTCTAAACCAGTACCCCTTCCTCAGCTCCCCACCTTGCATGGCACCAAAGCATTGCTGGTCATCTTTCATGCTTGCTAGCAAATGTTTCCTTTACAGGGGATATGATTAGCTCAATCTACAGTTTGTAGGCAACCATGTATGGTAGCTCAATTGCTGGGGTCCAGACAACATTAGTGGGAGGCTGATAGTTCTTAGCAAATATCTCTGCATTTGTGAGGAAAGGATGGATTGCTTTCAATCACAGTGAGCTGCCAGTGCAGTCTTTGCTGTTCTGGGTAGCACCTATTACTGTCAAGGATAATCAATCTCTTCTCATCTATAGGTGGTCAAGCCAGAACCTGAGTTAGCAAACGAGAGCCAAATCTGCTTTGTGATGGCAGCTAATTCTTTGTGGTGGTGATTTGTGGCTTCACAGAACTGAAGTTTCTCGCAAAAATAAGCCAGGATGGCCTATACTTAATTCAGGAGTGAGGGCCAGTGATCTCAGCTGAATCATCAAGAAACTTTTACAGCTACTGGAGAAAATACCACTCGTCAACTGTGGTATGTTGATATATCTCAAATATTTCTTGGGGCAATGAGACTTTCTTTGAAATCTGGTAGCATGTCTAAGCAATCGATTCCCAGGCTCCTGAGTTACTTCTGTTATGCAAAAGTGGATGATTGTTATCTGTCAGTTCTAAAAATAAATATGTATGTATAACAATAATTTTGGGTTGATCTGCAGTTGACCTGAATTAATTTTTTTCAGAATTCAGAAAATGGAACAAAATTCTGTTTCAGTTAAATAAAACTCATTTCTTTAATGAAAACATAATGATCTTCCTGTAATGTGCATAAAAATGTTTTTCTTACTTGAAAAATATTTCCAAATAAGCTTCTTTTGAATTTTTTAGAAGTTTTTTTTTTTTTTTTAATTACCAAATATGAATTATTTCAGTCATTTTCCAAACATCTCAGATTTTTTTCCTTTAGGGAAATAAGTGATTAAAAAAGAAATGAATTTTTGTTTCACCTTTTTGTTTTACTAGATCTGCATTTGTCCCTGTAATCTTCTTGGTCGAAATATTGAGCACAGATTAGGTCTCCTAGTTCTTCCAGTTTTTCACATACTGGATGGACTGACTTGCAAGTCTTGCTTTTTGTTTTTTCAAATTTTTTAATTGGTTAATCAAATGTGAGAGCCTTTTCTGTAAAAACAATTACACTAGGCTTAGGGGTGGAGAAAGGGAAAAATATCTGCTGTTGGATAAAAATTGTGTTCTCACTGAGCTGACATCAAAGCTGTTTGACTGTATATGGCATTTAAAAGGCCAGCCTGCTCATACCGTTATCATAAAGAAATTTGCCAGGAAGGCAGGTGTCTAACTATACAGGCAATCAGATTACAGAGCAAAGTAATCATGATTTCCAATTGTGAGCGTAGTTTGCCACATTAGCAAGTGTACTTTGGAAGAGAAAGACAAGTAATCAGAGAAAAATAAGGACAAGGGTGGTGATCATTTGAGACTGTACCATTCCAACAAGCTAGTAAATTTTACGTGGATTTTATTAAAGGATTTCATTTCCTTTACATAAAAAAAAAAAAAGAAGAAGTGAAAGACATCTGAAAATGAGAAAATCCTTGAATTTGCTTTCATTTGTTTTTAAGAGTTACTGAAACATAACAATTTGTTTCTTGGGAGTCACCGTTTGCACATACGTGTCTACAGCTCTGAGCAAGTCACAGCTGCAGAGTTTCTTTAAGGCATGCATGCTTGGCTTTGACATGCTGAGATTTATGGTGAGATTTAACTTCTTGTACCAATGGTGATGTTTCCTGAATGGTTTTCATCCAGATGGTCTCTGAGAGGATAAGGTTTAACAAGATTTATTCACTGAGAATGGGCAATGTGAATTAAAATTACAAGGAGTACTGTATATATACCACTTCTTTCCCATTCACTGCCTCACGAAATGTAGAAAATACTCCCTCTGCATTCCCTCAAAAAATGTTAAATGCAGTTTCTTCTTTCAGTGTATAGTTCCACTCTGAACAACATCAGAACCCTGGAAAACAAATGCTATTGGTCTTTGTTGAGTTGGAGGAAAGAGTACCCTCCATCCATGCCACTTTACCAGAGGTTTCCACCTTATTAGCAGAGGCAGGATGTGCGGACAAGTGCCAGTTTATCAACTGTCACAGTTTGTTGGCTGTTTTCAGTTAAATTAATGTACTGGCTGTGAGCTGTATTGATGAGGGTTGGGCCATATTGTTTTCCAGTGGCTCTGTTTCAGCTGGTGAGGGACAGCTGCAGACAGCTGGGAAAGGTAACTCCTTAAACCGGTTCCACTAAATCCAGCATGACCTTTTTGATTCAGCTCCAAGTCATCAGTCTTTGAAAGTTTAGGACTAACAGCAATGTTTAGGGTCCCAAGGCTGTGACTTCAATGAGTTGTGGGCTCTGTTACAGTCAGTCGAGGACCAGTGGTTTCTGCAAGCTGAGAATCTAAGCTTCATAATCCTTGTTGTGATTGTTGAACTTAGATTTTCTGGAAAATGAGAGTTGTTATCCAAATGAAAAGACTGATGTATAAGTTACCTTGTAGGTTTTTTATAAGGTTGTTCATACTCGGTGAAACCATTAAGTTTATGCAGGACTGCTACAAGTGAGTATCATCAAAGAAAACTGTAAGGCATTGCTCCCATCTTGAAGTTAAATGCTTTGTAAGCATTTTGACGGTCTGAGTCAGAAGATTTGTCATTTTCAGGAGTGGTCTTCTAAAACTATGATTAATTAAGTCACTATGCCGTTTCTGTCCCTACAGACTTTTTCAAGTGCTGCTTGCAAAATAAGTTAGTTGGTTTTACCATTTAAATTTACCCAAAATTTACCCATTTGTTGTCTACCTCACTTGCAGGCTGGATATTTTTTTGTTGTTGGTTTTTTTTTCCAGATCTCTGAAGAATCAAATGTGTCTCAGCTATTAATAACTTGGTTACTTCAGCAGCATCAACACATTTTGATGTGAATGGCTTTGAATCAGACTAAAACTCCAGTGAAAGAAGGCAAAAAGTTTGCCCTAGAGGACCATCTAAAAAATACACAGCCACAAGCATATTGCTTTTAGGAATTTGAGCAATTTTCAAAATGTTTTTTGGTTTTTGCTCTATCTCATACTATTCAGAGAAATAGCTCTCATGCATTGGCTCCTGCCAGTTGAACTCTAACACAAGATTTTAATAATCAGTGACTAGTTTTGGGTCTTTCTGTTCTTGAATTGCTAACTTATAATCTTTTTATTTTCAAAATGTGACTACTCAGCATTTCATAATATCATCTGCACTTTATATTGTCAAAGTTTAATTAGCCTTAAGCATAGGTACTGAAAATCACCAATTGCTTTTGAAAACAGGCTGTGTCATCAATGCCTTCTTAGGACAACGAAAACTAACAAGTGAAAAGACTTTCTGATTGTTCTTCATGGTTAAGAACGGACAGTCTGAATAAGATGTACAAGGGTTAATCATAGTAATGAAATAGGCCTCGTTGTGTTGTTGCAAGTTAAAAATATGTCTCTTACTGCAAGGCTTGCATTAATAATGTTTGAGAGGAGTAGCATCAACGTACTGTAATAGACTTTTATTAATAGACTAGCACAGTCATCAGTCTCTAGGTCGGTGTGATGACTGAGTACAGTGAATACGAGCATCTTGACAAGCAAGTAACAAAATCTATCAATTTCAGCATGAAGATGCTGTGATAATTATGTTTACAATGGTAATAAAATATGGGTAAATAAAGTGTTGAAATCCATGGAAATTTTAGGGTCCACAGTGAATATCCTAGGAAAAATTTAATGAGGATCACCATGAATTTATCTAGCTGCATGGACTGAAATAATTATTTTCTCAAACCATATTGCTATTTTTAGAAAAAAAAAATAAATGTGTTTTTAATCTAGTATTTTTCAGTGGTTAAGTCACTTCAAGGCTAAGGGCCTAGGCTGCACTCCTTGCTTGCTGTCATCATTTATATATGGATATTTGGTACCCTTCCTTTGATAGTGCTGATTGCCTCAGAACAGCAGCGCAGTGGCATTTTACAATTTCAGTGCTAACAGTACCAGTCACATTTTCATTCCAGTACTGGCCTTACAAAGAATAGGGCATGTTCTGCTCCCTTTTAAGCTTTTCTGTGTGGGTGGTTGACTCCATTTATTTCAGTGGAATTACTCTAAGCTTATGGTAAAAGGAAAAACAAACTTCCTGGTCTAGTGGCTTGTGGTGTCAATGAGTCAAAGTATCCTAGCCTGAGAAACGATCTGTCATGTGATTGCTGGAAAGAAAAAAGCTCTGATTTTTTTCTGTCCTAGGGCCATGCCCTTGGCAGGACAAAGAAGCCTTATGTAGTGGGAATATATTGCATTTACATCAAGTTTCAATCTCTTTACAATGGCAGGTTAATCTACACTTTCACGTAAGGAAGAATAGTCGGTTCTGAATCACCAATCTATATCACACTAAGAAACATCTAAATTATTATTATTTTTTTTTCCCCCAGAAAATTAGTAACTTAACTTCCTGAAAAAGGTGTTAGTTTGACAGTCCATGATACTGATGTCTTTGTGCTAATCCATGGCACAACCCAGTTTAGGCAGCAGCAGAGAAGGCCTCTCCTGCCAACATGCCTCCACCCTAGCCGGTAGTGGAGGAGAGGTAACTCTGCTTCCCATGCTTCATTTAATTCTTGGCTCTGTCTGCTGAGAATGGCAACGGAGTTGCCAGTTGTGGCATGCACATTTATTGCTGGGAACTGAGCCAGAACCACCAATCCATTTTGCATAGACACTGAGCAGCAATGGTAAATACTTCTTGTTCATTACTAACCCAAGCCGGATTTGAACTGAAGGCTTGGAGGTGAAAGAGTCTGTCTCCCATTCCTTAATCCCCTTAACATTTCAGTCTGCCTCATAAAATATTTTAAAAACAAATGTAAACCTTGTATATAAAATGAAAACCGGGAGAGAAAAGAAAATCTAGAGTGAAGTCTAAGTCTGTTTTCTTCTTCAGCAATCCTCTTTGTAGTAGTGGCCCTGGAAAATTGTTCTCTGATTATTCTCCTGAGAGATTACTCTAATTTTTTTACTGCTGTAGATGACTATATGATCAATTGTCATCAGTCAGTGCTTGATGATGGGTCATTACTTACTAGTGCATACTTAGGGGAAAAACACATGCGACTTCCATTAGGAGGCAGAGTGCACCTACATCAAATATGAAGTGTTCAGTAAGTTCTCATTAATAACATTTCAGGACTGTCCTCCTAAAGTTCCTAGCACAGAAGCTGCCTTTACAGTGGAAGAATTGAAACTAAGAAAGATTTGCTGTGTAGAGTCAGGAAAATGAGTTTCACCATAAGTAAAATTTCAATTTTTACCAGTGCATTTCAGGAACTGAAATTATATTCAGAAAGAAAGCTCATTCTGTTCTGTCCCTTGCTTCAGCACCCCTTAGCTTCAGATAGCTTTTGCATTTTAATTCATTTAATTAAGTTTATTTT